TGCAGAAGATTGAGTAGAAACTCCAAAACACTTTAAGATAGTTTAACCTTCTAGTGGATTCCTTTAATGGTTTTGATTGAGAAAATGTTTTAACCTGAGCAAGGGAATACGCCCATGAGGTGTTCATACGGGCAAATCTTTCGCGGTAGAAGACATTTCATTCAGTTGCAATGCAGAATAACACTGTTGAGCAATTGTTTATTCCGGAGAAAAAGACCAACGTGAACATTGAGCTAAATATGTTGAAAAGATCTTGTTGATTGTTTCTGCAAAAATGAGAGGTAAAAACAAAGTTTGAAATCGTTTCTAAGGCCATTTTTGAGAGAAAACAACTCGAGAAAGATGGGGAAGAGACGAACATTTCCTTAGCTTTCTCCCAGAAGAGAAGGCCACAGAGCATAGAAGTAAGACACATGAAGATGATGCGAGTGAGATTATAGGAACGGTTTCTCCAATAAGAGAGATGTTGTTTCCAGAGACATGCTTTGAATTGTTCCCAACCCGTTTGAGCATATCGCGAAGAGGAGATTAATCCTTCTGATCCGAAATATGTAGACCTCATTTGCTCAATTACTATTTTGTTCTCCCTGAAACAAAAAGACAAAAAGCAAGTGAGGGATTTTTACAGTAACTGTTTCACGCAATCAACAATCAAAAGTATTAAGTAACATACTATATAAAATATATAGTTTCAGTATTATATAGAAACTGACCATAAAGTATTCAATAACTTTGCTTGAATGTTGTCCAAGAGGTCCATAATAGATAATATTTCCTCCATTTTCAATCAAAATTAGCTGCAATCGAAGTGTCACATAATGTACTTTGAACAAGATCGAGACTTAAAATGGGATGCATGTTATTTTCACGAGTTTTATACCTCATCAAATGCTTCGAAGATATCTATGCCAGGCTGGTGAATAGTGCAAACGACGGTTCTGCCAGTCTCTGCCATGTTCTTGACATCTCTCATTACAATTGCAGCAGCTCTTGCATCTTATCATGTGGTTGGTTCATCCATAAATATGATTAAAGGATTGGAAACAAGCTCCACAGCTATTGTTAGTCTTTTACGTTGTTCTGTTGTTAAACCGTTCACTCCAGGAATTCCTACAATGGAATCTTTCATCTCCTCGAGCTCTATCATCTCAAGAACTTCCTCGACTATTGTCTGAAAGCAAAATCAATAAAATACATAGACAATGAAGCTAAAGGAAGGAAGGAATTGTTTTTCCATATAACGACTTACGTGCTTCGTTTCTGAATTGATGTTAGAAGGGAATCCAAGCAAAGCAGAGTATTTCAAGGACTCTCTGACAGTTAAATTGGGAGAATGAATATCAAATTGTTAGCAATAACCTAAAACCCGTGCAAATGTTTCTTGAGCCTTAAGGTAACCGCCTACATGGATCTATCCTTGAATGTCACCGCGGGTTTTCCTTCCAGAAAGAACATCAAGCAGAGTCGTTTTCTCAGCTCTACTCACACCCATAAGAGCAGTAAGAACATCGGGCTTGAATGCGCCTGTAATGCCAGAGAGAAGCTGCAGCTTCTTCCCCTAACAGAAAATGAGAGACAATACACATCTTAACTCTGTGTGCTGTTTAAAAGGGTTCAAGAAAACTTGTAACTTATAATATACTCTTTCCACCTGAGGGGTCTCGATGAAATATTGAACGTCTTGAAATGTGAAAGTTAGGGGCTTGAAAGGCAATGCCTTTTTGAGTTGGGAAGAAAGTTTAAAACTCGATTGTTCTTCTGAAATTTTTTTGTTCTTCTCACGAGAAACAATCGAGCGAGACCTCTGAATTGCAGAAAAAAATCAATCTTCATTGTATATACTAACTTCATTAAGTCACATCTTATATATACATCTCTTGTGAACTTACTCTATAGAAATGTCAAGGCCAGTGCAAAAAACAGTATTGAAGAAGAGTGCGAATCCAATTAAAGCACCAAATGCAGTCCAGTAAGATTGACTACCAAAGTTCAATCCGCAAACATCTAGTACTTGTTCCCCAGAGTTCTGTTTTCAGATGTTGTCTAATGGTAATAAAAAGATGATTGGGGGGACTTAGCAAAAAAAAAAAAAAATGATAGGGATCCTTAATGAACTAAAAACTTACCTTGAAAATGTTGAAATTCATTGAAGAGTTCGTTACCTTCCTCCACCGTGGAGCGAAAAATTCATTTGCGGTTAGACCAATCTCAGCATATGACAATGGAGAAAACCAGAATCCCCACTCAAGGCAAGCAGGCATGGAGGCTGAAAAATAACAGAGCAACTATTTTACAATGAAACCTTCGGATTCATAGATTTTTAGTTCAAGTAAGTAACTTACGTTTTCGAACAATGAAACCTCCGAATAATGAGAGAAGCATTATAGAGATGGTTCGAATGGTTGTGGCAACAACAAAATCGCGAAAGATGGAAGCTATAGCACGGAACATGGATAGACATGACAAGTGCAAAGCAAAGAAGATCATAAACCTGCGCATATGAAGTCGCTATCTGAATGAAATTGATTGTTTTGGTTGAATTCGAATGGGTGCGAAGAGAGGGGACGTCGATAACAACTATAGATCTGAAACCCTAACAATACATATCGAAGAAGAAGAGTGAGCATCAGTGAGAAAATGGCTAAATATGGAAACTGGGTTAGAAACGACTGGGTCACGATGTGATCTGTCTGGCAGGACAGACTAGGTGATTGACTAGTCTGGCATGACAGACTGGGTGACGAGGTGACATGTCTGGCAGGACAGACTGCGTGACAAGGTGACATGTGTGGCAGGACAAACTGGACGACGCAGTGACCTGTCTGGCAAGACAAACTGCATGACGGTGCTGTCAACATGACAAGACTAGAGCGGCGAGCCTGGCGAGTCCAAGAACGCTACTTAGCGGCAAAAACAAATTTGTAATGGATTGGAGAATTGGGCTCGCAGAAGCAGAAAGCCCATAAGACAAGCCCGTACGAGATGAAGTCCAAGGCGCGACAAGGTGGGCCGAGTCCAAAACACGACGAGATGGGCCGAACTGGGCAACGCAGTCCATAGGTGTGGTTGAATTCAGAGAAAGGAAACTCCTGAAGAATATGAAAACTTCATGATTTCTTTAGAATTGAACTAACCGACATAAACTGCTATAAATACTAGTGTATCTCCCTTGAAAAAGAGATCCGAAATTTTACTCTGCAGAAATTCTTGTATTTTTAAACTTAGCAAAAACAGCAGTAAAACCTCATCTTCAACCTTTGTTTTGTGATATTTTATATCTAGAAGACTCAGTCTTCCTTTCAAACCCTTGACAAATTTAACTGTAGTAATTCTACCCTCCACAGACAACGTAATATCGAAATGGAAATCTAGTAGAAGTAAGTAAGAATCCATGGAACTGAGTATTATTCCATAAAGTTTCACAGACTCTACACTTTCCATCGACAAATACCAACCCGAAAAAAGACATAAACGTTTGAGTTTATTCCTCCGACAAAACACGTTCGAGATCGAACAAAAGCATAGTTATGCAACCGAAGAACAATCACTAATGTTTCATCACAAAATTCACAATCAAAAGCAGAGACTTCAATTCTGATTGATAAGGATTAGACAGTAGCACATCATGATTGAGAAACTTCTCTTTTAGAGAATTGCGTTCTTGTTTTTACCCATTTAATTGCGTTCATAAGATAAGGATTAGAGAATATCAATTGCAATTTGTGACCAAGAAGAAAAAAAAAATAT